TTACGTCATAAGCAAAAATTAGTAAAATAGGGTTTGGATTATCAAACAGAATTTTAGAAGTTTTATAGTATTAATTTAAAATTACAAAATTTTTAACAACTTTTAGCTAGGTTGTAAGTATTATTTTAGTCAATTAATTTACTCTTAGAAAATGTGCTTTATTTATTTTGTGGCGAGAAGGATGACTTCCATTGTATATAAGTGAACAGTTTCCTGTTAAAATAATAAAAGCTTTTTTTAGGAGATTCTAACAAAGGCATCTAACTTTTTTTTAACAAAACTTTATTTCTTTTGGTGAGTCATACTCCAATTTTTTGCATGTTCGCTGAACCTTACTACGTTTATCCTTATGACTCGTCCTCAGTTTATTGTTTTTAAATTTTCACTTAGTAACTAATTTTAAAAGCTAACGCAGCTCTGGCAAAGTCCTTAACGTTTGTATTACTATTCGAAAGTGACTGTAGTAAGAAAACTATTGGGAAAGTTTTTGCTTTCTTTCTACTGATAACAGCGATTTTATCCTCGTCGAAGCTACGTACCCTACTGCGCCAGCTTCTCTCGTACCACCTAATGACGCTAGCGAACTGGTGTCATCGTTGGAAAATTACCCATTTTATCACAAAGAAGTGCAATACTCTACCGCTGCTAACCGTTGAAAATAAAGTAATTGCTTGGTATCCTGAGGCGAAAAACACTACCTGGGGATCGTTATCGACAATAAGCTTTGGGTGGCGGTCGCACGTAAACTATATCGCGGAGAATTTCAAGGCGGCGGTTCAAGCCCTTTACCCTTTACTTTGAGCCCGAAACGTACTTACACTGCAACAACAAACGACGCTTATATTTGTTGTGCATCCGACCGATCATGACATAAATACGCGTCTACTGCCAGGACCTACGACTCACCGGAAATAGCCTCTTCGCTCCAAGTGAGACAAAACAAGCTGCTACGCATTCTGTCGGGCGCGCGTTGGTTTGTTCGCAAAGATGTCTTACGTTAAGACCTCCGGATTGAACCTCTGGGTAACGTTTTTTGACGCGATGCCATCGCCACCTACGATCGGCTCAATCAGCAAACCAATCGATTACTGGCAGATGAGATGAGGTCAACTACGAAATCTGGGCCGGCATCCCGCTATTACCGATTGCGCAATGGACTCTAAATATATGATAATGGGATAGGGGTAGAATTATTTTTATTATATATATATATATATGAGCTTGCTTTAACAGAAGCTTAAAGCTAATGTGTACGCTATCACCTTGTTGGGAGCTTGTAAATTCAGTGTTTCCTTTTGCTACTCGATCGAGCACCAGGGAGTATCATTTTTGAAAATTGATAGATCAGTTCCTAAAAATACGAATGGACTCCTTTAAAGTACCTACAAGTGACGGGAATAATTTACTGGAAAGAATATTACGGTAACTACATAAAAACTTAAATAATTTCGACTTCACCCTATACTGTTAGTAGATATTAAATATAGCTCATTTTATAGGCTTAAAATTCTTGAGACAACCTTAAAAGAGAAAATAAATATTTCCGAAAATTTAAAGAATGATGTTAACGATTTACTTCGATACAAAAAACAATATTTTGAAATTACAAGAGATTATGAGAAGTTATTTGATTTTATATACGTCAATGTGTTTTATACAACTATTTTTGTCGTCTAGTGCTAAAGTTCGAGTAAACAATTTAAAACAGAAACTACGTCTCGCAAAAAGTCAATTAAAGACAGGAAACTACCTTATAAGAAATCTATTACTTTATAATTTATTACTATTATTATTATTTTTAAGATCAACGTGTTTTACTTTAATAGTGAACTTTTTACACCAAGAAGAGCTAAACAGAAAAAAGGAATGCGATATTAAGTTAAAGGAAACTTGTATGCCATACCGCTCCTCTCTTTCGAGGTTCTTCTACTTTCCAACAGTAAATCTTTATACTCTTTAGATTTTTTAATTAGAAAAGAGGATTTAGAAGATCTGACTGTAAAAGGGTTTCCTTCTCTAAAAAATACTAATAAAGAATTGTTAAGTAAGATCTCTTCCATTTTTAGACAATTTACTCTTCAAGTCGAAAGTTTGCTGTACATAAGAAGAAGTCATTTAATACAACAGTTAATTGTGCTTTACTGTTTTAAAGTAGGTTTTTGTTTATATATAAAAAATTTAGAAAAGTTCTCGTCTTACATTATTCTACAAGTAACTAGCTCATTCAGCCTTTTATTATAAAATTTGTTACGCTGATATACTTTTATATATCACTTTAAATTGTTCCGTTTAAACTCGCCCAGCGGTTAGTTATTACGTTCTTAAAAACTTGTAATTAAGTAGGAGACAATAAAATCTAAACTAAAAAAAACTTTTTGTTGAATACAAGTAAAGTAGCTTTGGAAGCCCTAATTTTAGTTACGGAAAGAAAAATTAAGACTTAGTTATATTTCTAACTTAACATTTTTTTTTTTACTAAATCTTAACTATTATCGGGACCAGAAATAAAATTTTAAAATCAATTAATTTATATTTCCTTTATATTTGTGTAATAAAATAGTAATTATAACCACAACTATAAATTCGCAGAAAATTTCAGAAGGCAAGTATTCTATTAGTGACTTGGCCTTTCCCACTTTCCAGCATCTCAATGGTTTGTTGTCTGCAATTTATTACTTCCCCGCTTTAATTAAGTTAAAAAGAATTCAAAAACAATTCCAACACGGCAGCCGTCAGTTGTTTATGCCACTTTACGTGGATGATATCAAAAGTATAATTAATTTTATAGTTTAAGCCATTTATTAATATTTAGACTAAGCGTATAATATATACTAACGTTTTGATAATCGGAAAAACATATTTTGATGACTTAGCTCAAAAAATAAACGATTAACGTACCTCCGTCACCTCTCACTCCCCCATCCATTGTTCGAATTTTCATTTTCGTAAAAAAATTTTACATTAGTTTTTTGACAAACCTCGAGTTGAAGTGGAAAAGCAAATATCTATTGTCACCAACATGGTATTTGCTCCAATAAAATGTTTGCAAGAAGGAGTGGACCTCGCTCGAGAAAATGAACTGGGAACCACCAATGGAACATTTTCACTAGGAGAGAAAAATAAATTGCGTCTTGTTAGGTCAAAGAAAAAATGTTATACGCAATAGGACTACCAAGCATGTAGAAGTTGATTGCCTTATTACAATGGTTTAAATTACAAAGAAACTGGAATCCAGCATGTTTTGATATTACATGCTACATGGCTAAAGAGGATTAGCAATTCTTCTCGGTATTGTGACACAAATGACCTGGAAGTTAACTTCGCATTTTGATGACTAACTTATTTTAATTGTGAATTCTTAACTGATAATAATGTTATTGACGTGATAGCTGCGAAAGTAAGCCCAAGTGGAAAATAATTTCTGAGGATGAGGAAACGGAGAAGAGAAATAATAAGTTCAGAAGCCTAGTATTCGGAAGCAAGCAATCATGTCCGAAAAAGATATATTTCATTTTATTAAACACAAGGTTCAAAATATGAATAGTTGAGTTTACAGAGTACTCCATTGAATAAGCCTAGATAAAAAGATTTTATTAACGCGTAAACAAATGAAATTAAGGTTATTATCGCTAGTGCAAACTTCTTATGTGCAATCCTTACTGCGCAGTAATGTTTTTACTTTATTTTACACGGTGTTGTTTACAATATGTCGTGTTAATATATAACATAAATAAAGAAATGTTTTTCTTGTATAAAATTATTTTACATGACTCATCATAAATTTTTCTGCGAAAAACGGGTATCTCGGCCATAAAGAAAAGTTTTTATTTTATTTTAAATGGATTGTTTATTTAGTTATAAGAAAAAGAAATATGATGTCCTTGTATAAAACATTTTTTACTTATCGCACATAACTTTTTCGGTGGAATAAGTACCTGGCTACAACGCGAATTTTTTAATCTATTTTGTACGATATAATTTCTATTTTGTTATAAATTGCATAGAAAGAATTGTTTATTTTTTTGTATGAAATCATTTTACTCGACTATAACACAAAAAATTGGTCTCTTCAACCGCGTTTTAAACGGGGTTAACTATAATTTACTTTATTAATATCACATACATATAGTTTCGAGAACTCATAAATTATAAATAAAATTTAAGTTTGTCATTGAAAAGTAAAAACTTGATAAATTGTTAAATAACTCTAAACTCTCATGCCACCTCAAATTAAAAATCTGGCCAACGTGTTCCCACCTGCTTTGTAAATGTAGTGACAAGCCCTCGAAAGAATAGCCCTCACATTACATACAATGTTTATTTTTTAATATTTGTTTGTAATTGTATTCAATATATTCGTAAATTATATTTGTTATTAAGAATACATTAAACAATATTTTTCAATTATTTTTAGATTCTAATTTAAAAATATAACAATACAAGAACACATTTTAATTTTTACTAATATGCTCTCTTTGCTTTCAACCATCTACGGGGCAATATTTAGCTCCCTTATAATATTAAGAAATATGCAGGGGGGGGTAATTAAACAAATTGGTTATTAAAAATTAATAAGTTTTTTCAAATTGAAATTAACCATTTCACAGCGAACTCACAATATTGATGGAGTTTCGCACAACTAAAGTACGCCAGTATTTGGAGCTGTTAATAATCTTAAAATTCCTCCAAGTAAATTTATTAAATCTACACCAAAAAAATTTTACTTTTACTTTGAAGACCTAATCTAGGTTATTTACTATAAACTAATTATTTTATGTCCATACAGAAAATGCAAATTTTGTTAAAATTTGGAGTTTGCTTCATAAAAAATTATTTATAATTTTTAATTTATTTTAAAAAACATCAAAGGAAATCCTGTAGAGGACAAAAAATATATATTTGGACAAAACTATAGAGCCCCTTGAATTATAATGCAACTAAAACTTTACTTATAAAATTTAAAAAGGATATTGAAAACGCTGCCAGTTCTTCTGACAGCTTAACATAGCTTTTAATACAAATGCCTTCTGTTGTAAAATTAAAACGTTCGGAGGAAGTTATTAAGTTTTTTGTGAAGTTCTCTTAAAGCATCCCGAATTACAGCGTGTTCAGACTCAGTAGTTTCGCTAAATTTTTGCAGTTGCTTAATAAAAAAATGGTTTATTAAAAAATTAAATTCCTAGTAACGCAAATTAATAAGTATTAAGTACTTTTATAAATATAGTATAACAATAAAGTGATGACTTATTTTATAATAGAATAATAAGATTTAATTCTATTTCCAAAATAATAAATCTATTCAAAAGCTATTTAAGTAATATAGAAAATGGTTAACAAAGTAAATATTATTTAAGTTACAACTAATTGTTTTTGTATTTGCTTTTTTGTATTTATTAGAAAGTTTTAAAAGATAAAAAAAATTTAATTGTTTATACAAAACCAAAGATGAAGCAGTCTTTTAAATTTAACCGAAAATTAAAATTTTCAGGAGTTTTTGATATCTAATTAGTTTTACTTGCAAATTTCATATAAGCTTAAATAATTCAATTACTTTAAACAGGAAACGGTTTGTCATGAAAAAAAGTTTTACTTTTTTTTTAAATATAGTTTTTTAGTTTAAAATATTCAATAAAACAATTTTTATTGTTCAAATATATATTTTGCTTCTATAAACTATTTTTAAATATTAAATTTTTAATGTTTATAAAGTTAAATAATCAAATAAATAACCTTATTGACTAGTTATTCAAGAATAAATATATTTTACTAAATAATAATTCTTTTAAAAGTTAAAAATTGATAAATTTTTCTTGCTATTAAGAAAGTTGAGGAATTTTAAAGTTGATATCAGATTACACAAACTAATATTTACATGCAGAATTTTTAAAAAAAACTGTTTTTACTAAACTCTGTTGACTATTTTTATCACCATATAAGAACTTCGTAAATAATTTTATTAAATAGTGAAATTCTCTTAAAAATTAAGTTTTACTTGTAAAGCTTGCTGAATATTTTTATTAAAAAGCAGAAGGGCGTGTTGGACGCGAGAAGACTCCTCACCAGAAACATAAAGAGGATACCTGCAAAGGTTAAATTAAATTATAAATTATACTAATATTAGAATTTGTAGAATTCCTGGCTTTTTAATTTAGTTCTTTTTAATAACTATTTTAATTTAAGTGCAATTTTTATTTATAACATTAGAAAATAATGACTTAGAAAATTCTCTGAACGCTAATTGCAGTTTAATTTATTAGCTTAGAACTTTAACTTATTCCAAGTTTTTTTGTAAGAATTAAAAAGTAAAATTAAATAGAAAAATACTTAACTTGCAAAAAAGTCTATTTCTCTGCGGTAATTTATATTAATTTATTTTTTGAAAAAAAATTATAAATATTTAAATATAAACATTTCCTCCAGATAAGTCGTTTTTAATTAAAAAAGTTTATTAAGCAATGCGAGTAGAGAATTAAAATAATTTTTACAAAAGTGCATGAATTAAAAGGGCATAATTTATATAATACATCCTACAGGCTTGGTTACTTCTTTTATAAGAAATTTTAAGCCATTTTTCGATCTAAACAGTTTACGTTTTTCTTTTATTATATCTTAGAAAATAACACTAATTAACTCTTTTTTTTTGGTTATAAAAAGATTTTTTTTAAATAAGTTTTTAAAGCACGTTGGCACTGTGGATTTCCAATGGTGTTAATTATTTACTCTAAACTTAAATCAAGTAAATATATTAAACTGATTTTTAAGGCTTTCACATAACACTGTCAAATCTAATCAAAAAAAAGTTTAAACAGAAAAATCGTAAGGTTTGTTATGTTCACGTGATAATAAATACTGATCTATACTAAAAGCACTTAGAAGTATTGTTTTTTTTAAATAAAACGGCAAATATTTCGGTGGTAATTACAAACTCGAATATCAACTTAACTTCTTTCAATGATTATAACAAATAATCAACAAAAGCTTTATTAAATTTCAGTAAAATATAACTCTAATCATATAGGTAAAATACAATCTGAAACAAAACAAAATCATAAAGATACTTCTCTCAAATTAAAAAAAATAAAATTTCGGAACAGTATGAATAAACTTTTTTCTACGAATAGGTGAACTAAATAAAAGAGCTTATATAAATTTCGATTACCTAAATTTTAAAATAAAACAGCTTTACTTGTGAAAAAATTTTCAGTAGTATTAAAAAAATTGTTCAGAAACTATTGAGTATAACTTGAAATAACAATCCAAATTAAAGGCATAAAAAATTAATTATTAATATTGAAACTAATATGTAACAAAATTAATAAATTCTGTTCGCAAGCATAAAGAATTTGTAAAAGAAGTAGACAAATTTTGAATTATGTATTCACGAGGGTGCCTTCCCACTCGAGTGCAAAACAAATATAAAAATGGAATGGCTTGCACAAGACGTTCTTTTCTATTTTGTTGTTGTGGTCTTGTATCATTAAATGTTGTGCTTTTCGGGAGTCTTTAAATTTTTAAATAGTTACTTCCAGGCCTTGAATTTTAAAAAGCTTGTGTTAGAGAAAATTTTTGTCTACAATACAATGTTATACTATATTTAATCATTCATTAAACATAACACCTAAGTGCTTAAGACTCAAAACCTGTAAATTTACAAATTGTAAAAACTATAAAAAGAATATTAGCGGCCTGGTGAAACAAAACATAAAAAACTAATAGATAAAAAAATTGAAACCCCGCACCGTAGGGGACGCTTGTTGGGTAGATGCGCGTAGTTGATCCCTG